TTCAGTGAAACACTCCCGAGAAAGCTATTGCATAGTGAAACACGTGTTGAGGTTTTTTAAAACTGTTCAGCGAAACACTTCCGAGAAAGCTATAGTATAGAGAAAACACGTGTTGTGGTTTTGTAAACTGATTAGTGAAATACGCCCAAGGAAGATATATCATTGCGAAACACGTGCTGCGGTTTTGTAAACTAGTCAGTGAAACACTCCTGAGAAAACTATTGCATAGCGAAACACGTATTGGGGTTTTATAAACTGTTCAGAGAAACACTTCCGAGAAAGCTATAGCATAGAGAAAACACGTGTTGTGGTTTTGTGAACTGATTAGTGAAATACGCTCAAGGAAGCTATTTCATCCCGAAACACGTGCTGCGGTTTTGTAAACTATTCAGTGAAACACTCCCGAGAAAACTATTGCATAGCGAAACACGTGTTGATATTTTGTAAACTGTTCAGCGAAACACTTCCGAGAAAGCTATAGTATAGAGAAAACACGTGTTGTGGTTTTGTAAACTGATTAGTGAAATACGCCCAATGAAGCTATTTCATTGCGAAACACGTGCTGCGGTTTTGTAAACTATTCAGTGAAACACTTCCGAGAAAACTATTGCATAGCGAAACACCTGTTGAGGTTTTGTAAACTGTTCAGCGAAACACATCCGATGAAGCTACAGTATAGAGAAAACACGTGTTGCGGTTTTGTGAACGGAAGCTATTGTATAGCGAAACTCGTTGTTGAGCGAACACCCCTAATGAAGCTATTGTGTAGAGAAACACGTCTTGCAGTTTTGTAAACTGAAGCTATTGTATATCGAATCACGCGTTGTGGTTTCGTCAAGTGAAGCTATTGTCTAGCGAAACACGTGTTGCGGTTTTGTGAACTATTCAGTGAAAATCCCACAATAATGTGGTACTTGGAAGAAACGACGTATAAACCGCGAATAGTAGTGGATTACCAAACGAGATGTTTTTTTTTGTAAGGATTGTTTTTTGTTGGTAGTATTTTACATTTTGGAAACAATAGAGGTTGGTAAATTGCACTGGCCTTCACTTAAAGTGAAGTTTCTTAAAGCGATTTC